TAATTTTTATGACCTTGCAAAAAAGGTGATAACTTACTATTCTTGGGTGAGGAAGCAGTATCAGTGACTTATCCAAGGTCAAACAGCCAGTAAATGGCAAAACCAGAATTCTGATCCAGGTCTGCACATAAACAATGAAGAAGGTCGCTTTGTTTTTCTTGTGATACATACGATACTAAAGGGGAGGAGGTAAAATGTACATAAAAGTGTGAATAAAAATGCAATTGTATGCTTGATCCCTAAGCAGCCTCAAAAGTGTAAGTAAAGACTGATGAAGGAATCTTTTAAATAATGTTTCTTTTTTAAATTAAAATACAATCTAAACCAAGAAAAGTTATTACAAGAATGATAGTGGCATATTTTTCATTGAATTGTTAGGCATTTATTAGTCTGAAGGTCATTTTAAAAATGCATCCCATGTGGAAATGAATCTGAACCACCAGCATTTAGTGACTGCCCTTCGCTTTGTGCTGTGGCGCTATTCTGTGTGCGGGACCTCTTGTCCCTGCAGAAATGCTAATGTCCTCCTCGTGGTCAGAGGATTTATTGTAGGTAATATACTCTCAGAAGTAGGCACAAGTGATTTTGTTTTGGATTCCCCCCCCCTTCCTAAACAGATAATGGTGCTGCTTACCTGCCATATCCCTGTCCTTTGTAACCAGTGAACAGTGCACTGAGATGGTATACGTGTTGGGGTGGTTCTTAGCATGAGCCACATGGCCAAATTAGGATTTTTTTCCTTACCATTCTCTCTACCCTGGATATTTAAAGAATATTCTTAGGCAGCATCTGCTTAATACCGCTGCTAGTCCCCAATTATAGTTAACCTTACCCCACAGTGAGAGTAGTACTAGAACTGAACAGTGAGTCTCAGTCCTGGACAAACAGCATTTGGACATTTAAATAATAAAAAACCTAGAGAGTAGATGCACCCAGCCTTCACGCTGCACAGGCTGGATCCCCGACAGCCTGAAAAACAGTGTCAACAAAGACCACCAGACAGCGGCCACCCACTACGCCAGCATGGACCCAGCCGTGGTGCACCACCCTGAGCTCAATGGGGCAGCCTACAGATATCCCCACCCCCCCGGTGTGGTGGGCATGGCCCCCACCGGCATCCCCGCCACTGTCGAAGGCACCGTCCCCAGCTCCATGTCCTTGCCCCATGATCTGCCCTCCACCCCCTGTGGCCCACCCACCCCACACCCCATCTCCTGGCCAAACTGTCCAGCCTGAGATGGATAGAGACCACACTAGTGACCAGTTGTAGCCCAGGCAGAGCTAGCTGTCTGCCCTCCGGCCGCAGACCGAGGCACAAGAGGTGGTGGCATCTCTGGGGCCCCAGCACCTAGAGGCTGGCCTTGTAGGTGGGGAGCGGCAAGCAGAAGCCCCCCTCATCCCCGGACTTGTCCTGCGCAACCATCGTTAAGCAAAAGAAGTTAGTAGGTAGTTAATGTGGCACGGGCACCCCGGGGCCAGGCAGGCTGCAAACTTCTCAGGACAATGAATCTCTCCCGTTTTCTTTTCATGCTACACAGTGCATTGTTTTTCTACCTGCTTGTCTTATTTTTAGAATAATTTAGTAAAATAAAAGGCTGTACCCCTCATCCCCTGATTTTGGCGTGAGTCTCCCGATTCTACATGAAGTAAGTGCCGTGAAGCACGAGGAAGGCAGCTTTCCTCCCCAGGCCACCCGCCTGCCCGCCCTCCACACTGCCCTGCAGTGGTCACGGTGGCGGCTCCTGCCCCAGGCCATCCTGCTGATGTGTGTGGTAGGGTAGCAGCATTTTGGTTAAAATCATGTTTGTGACTGTAACCATTTGTATGAATTATTTTAAAGAAAGAAAAGTCCCAGGAAAAAAAACAAACCCAAAACTCTACATTCAAGAGTTGCATCTTTGTGGCAGGAGGAGAGAAGCACAGAGTAGTTTTCTGAACTAAAACATGCCATGAAATGGGAGGAATTTGTCCCAGTGGATTGTGGATTCCATTTAGAAATTACTTTTTTAAAGGGAGTGAAATAAATTTGATGTAACAGTTATATTCTGACTCAACTTACGGGTTTTTATGTTAAACTCCATGGTAAGATGGTAAGATAGATACTGCCTCAGCTGTTCTTTCAACCTGATACTGACAAAGTTTGAAGTCTTGGCTGGTTATCATGGCTTCAGCCTTCCCTCTGCAATGGTCAAGCCACCTTTTCTAGATTTACAATGATTCACGTTCATTAATCAAAGGATGTGAGGTGTTTAAAGCATTTCTATTTGTGAGAGCTACAGACCACCTGGAGAAGAGTTGGAACTTAGAGGTAAAAATCTAATTTTCACTTCCTTTTGCTCTGAGAGTCAGACAAGTAAAATAACACATATTTTGCCTCGGTTCTCACCTCCCAAATAGAATTACTCAGACTTTTCTATTTCCTTCCAGAAATGCAAGGAAATGAAGCCAAATGGTGAATTCTTTTGGGGATAAGGAGAAGAAAAAAAACCCACCCCAAAACTTAAGGTTCCACGTGCCATTGATTTCAGCTATAACACTTGTTGTGTATATAGCTATAAATACATATATATACACATTGTATGCATAAAAATGGTTCACACTTCTTGGCAGTGCTTACTGAGTATTCATCAAAGATTTGAGTAGGCTTTGTGATGAATTTTCACAAACCAGATGCGAAAGATTGCATTAATAGCTACAGGGGACAGGATAGGGAATAATTCAGGAAAGTGTAGAGGTTTAGCTGAAATATGTCATCTGGGAATTTTGGCATTTGAAACTGCCTTCATACTATGTTATATATAATAGACATTTTATAGTAACAGTGTTAAAACAGCCAGGTGCCTGGAGGCAAGCAACACACATTCACCAGTGCAGCTCACAGAAATTTATCTAGATTTCAGATTGTACTACTTTAAAAAAGAAAATAATGGTGTAAACGAGATCAAAAGTGGGCAGGAGAGCAGATGTGAAAGGTGAAAAACCAGTGGCTACATGGCCAGGGTCAAAGCCAATTTATGGAACCAGTTAAATGAAGAACAGTGGTGACCAGTGGGTGCGTGTTGCACCTAGGGCTCCCATCTCACTGGGGACGATGTGGTCTTGGGTCACAGCGCCTCCTGGGGGAGCCACGGCCTCGCCCTGGCCTCGTGGGGGACGCTCAGGGTCCTGCCAACATGGCGCATCATCAAAGGCACCCTAGTCACGTGCCGGGGCCGGGCGCGCCCGGGCAGGGGGCCGGGCCCGCAGGGGGCGTGGCCGTGGCGTGCGCGGCAGGGGCGGGGCCTCGGGGTTGGGAGCTCTGGCGGCAGAGGCTGCAGAGAGCTCGGCGCTGGCTCAGCTCGCTCTCTGTCTCGAGGACGCGTCGGGCTCTCCAATCCGGGCGGCTCCACTGTCTCCGTGCCGCTGGCCTTCAGTGGTTACGGCCAGGTGAGCTCCCAAAGGCCGGGTTTAAGGGAGGGATGACTCCCACCTCCAGCCACTCTGTTTCCTCGCAGACTGGGGAGGGGTCCCTGTATAGGGCGTGCTGGGAGACAACTCCCTTTTTTACTTGCTTGTGTCATCTCTGGCAACATTGGGATTGTTGCCTCCGCCGTCCCTCACCGGCCTTTGCAGTGCCCTGTGCCCTTGCGGGTGTGAATGGGGGGCGATGCCTGATTTGTGGGGAGGGCGTGGAGTTTGCCTGCAGCTCCCTCAGCTGCGGAGAAGGGGGGCTGAGTTGGCTAGTCTCCCTATGAAAACTGCCTGGATGTGCCTCCATTTCCCCGCCAGAAGAGTCAGAGGAAAGCGCTTCCAGCCCTTGGCCCAGCTCCACTCCTTGGGGTATGCAGAGGGCCAGGGTCTTCGTGCCTCTCAGGGGTCTTAATCCTTCCCGAGGTCCTCCTAAGGCCCCCTGTTTGCTGTTGCTGGCTCTCCATCCCCCGATTTGCCAATCCAGGGCTCTGCTGTAGATGCCCCATCTCTGCAGTGCCAGAGCGGTGGGGTAGAAGGAGTGGCCAGCCCGAGGCCTGGTGGGAGTGGGGGGTGGGCGCAAGAGGAAGGAGAGACTGATGCTGAAATTCCTGAATAAGAAGAGTGGGAGTGGGGAGCTTACTTTGTGTGAGGCAGTGGGGATGCTTCCGGTACAGATCCTGCCAGTTTTGATGGTGGGTGGGAAGAGAGAGGTCGGGTTGGAGGACTTGGAAATGTAGTGTGGGTGTTTTTCTTGAGGAGGGATCAAGGCCAAAGTGCCACTAGGTGCTGATGTCACCTTTGAGGAGAAGTATATAGATACTGGCCATGTCTAGTTGAGAGGCAAGGGAGTTGAGGCTGCTGGTCCACTCTTTTTTTGGGGGGTAGCAGGTGGTTAAGAAGAAGGCCCTAGTTAGCATGGAGATTGACCACCTCCATCTAGGTGTGAGTTTAAAGGGCCTCGCTAGGAGCCAGGGACCAGATTGCAAGACTTGGCCTCACTCTTTCTCAGGATTGTTGGGACCACCACTTAGAACTTTAACATCCAGCAAGCATTTACTGGGCACCTACTACATGCCAGATACAATTATGTGCTAGTTCTTCCAAAGGGAATTTAGGAGCATGGAGCAGCTGGCAGAGCCACAGAGTAGGTACTCTACTGAACATATCCTGCGCAAGTCTTATTTTTTATTTTGTTTTTGCATCGCTATTAGGAAAAGAAAGAGAACCTGTCCACATGCTTCTAGTTGTCCAAACTAGATTCCAACTCTTCTTTAACTGGCCTGGTGGTCCCAGGTGAGTTGCTTTGACAGAAAGGGCAGTTAGAATGATTTTTCCTTGATTATTTTTTAGAGCTTTGTCTTGAGGAGGCTTGGAGGAATGGTATCTCAAAGGAATGGGGCCGTGAATGGCACCAGGGTTCCTGGGGGCCATGAAGGCTCTATACACCCAGGCCAGGGGGAGATGCCATGTCTGGGAGATGACCAAGCATGAGGGGAGAGGATGTGAATGGGAGTGCTCATCCAGTCCTGGCTGTGTGCTGCTCTGTGGTCTCCTGATGGCTGGTGATGGAGTGTCTGGGCTTTGGCCGCTGGGTTGTGACAAGACGCCAAGCTCCTGAGCCCCTCTCTGAGTTGATTGTGCCCCTCTCTGAGTTGATTGTTGAAGTCTTAGTGCTTGGAAAGAGTTACCAGGGCTTGTTTGTTGGTCTTCGGAAGGGAACAGGGCTGGGACTTGGGAAGATGATTAGGGTCAGGGTGTGAGGATGAAGCAGAGGTAGAAAGTTGGACAGGGCCAGGGAGCTGCATTCTGTGTGGAGGGGCTTTAAGATGTGAGGAAGCTTGCCAAGACCGATTTTTAGTGTGCTGCTTGGGACAGTTGTTAGGTGCCGTCAAGTATGACTCATAGTGACCCTGTGAACAACAGATCTGAGCTCTGTCCTATCCTGTGCCATCCTCATCTCTAACACACTTGAGCCCACAGCTGACAGGAGACCCTAATATACTAGTTCGTTGGATGAGTTGCTACAAGGCATGGTGACTGAATGGTTTGTGTGTGCGCCTGTGCACGCACGCACGCTAGCATGTCTTGGAGAGAGAAGGTGCGAGGAATGAGAGAACGAGGGAATGAAAGCAGCCTCAGAGTCTGGGCTCTAGGTAGGGGGTTGGAGAATGTGAGAGAAGGGAGTGCAGTCGGAGGAGGGGCAAGCATGCATGGCAGCCACATGAAGTCACCATCTGTCCCCCCTCTGGCCCGCTAGCTCACTGACCTATAATTAGCTCTGGAGGGCATGTGGTGCTGGCTCGCACAACTGCGGCACTTCGGGTGGCCAGTGGAGTGAAGAGGGGCTGGGGTGCTGAGTGTTCTTGGAAAGGGGCTGCTTCCATGGTCCTGCACTTGCTGTCCCAGGAAGGGCCTGAGGGAATTGAGAGTGTCTTCCTGGGCAGGGCTGCGGGTGGTGGTGATGACAGCGGGGATAACCGTGGAGGAGACCTGTGATCTCTGATGGTTTGAAACTCCAGGGCCTGGCAGAGCCTGAGGAGCCCCTGCTTACCCCACCCCTTGCTCACCAGTTATATACAAAGCAAGATGTCTTTCCAGCTCCCTGCTCTGCTTCCTGAGAGGCTTGCTTCTTGCAGCGCTCACACCACCCCTCAAGTAGCTTCTGCTCCCTCAGGTGGTGTAAATTCCAGTACAGCACTGCTTCCTGTCTTCAGAAGTCAGGCCTGAGTGGCCTTGGCTGGGCCACCTGGTTCTGAGAGAGCTGGAGGAGAAATTGCCACTCGCTCATTCACTTGGTTATACTCCAAGTGAGGCTCAGCACTGACCCCAGGCTGTGCCAGAGACAGCATGTCTGTCACAGGCCATTCTGGATTGCTCTCAAAAGATTTGGTGTGTATGTTGCCTCAAGTAGATGGTGAATTTCTTGAGAGTTGAGATTGTATCTTAATGTCTTTTACATCAGTAAGAATTCCTATCATA